AGGGAAATTTGGACACGCACAAAAAAAAATCATAGGAAGAATCTACAAACCAAGGAATGCCAAAGATTGCCAGCCAACCACTGGAAAGTAGGTGAAAGGCCTGGGCAGATTCTCCCTCAGAAGGAATCAATCCTGCTGAAACTGTGACCTTGCTTCCAAAACTGTGGAAAATAAATTTCTGTTGTTTAAGCCAGCCAGACTGTGGTACTTTCTTACAGTTGCCCTAGCAAACTAATGCATGCAGGATGCCCAGAGTATATACGGGATGAATCATTAAGAGCTTATTCTATAAAACCAGGAGTGAAACTTACTTGCCTCAAAATGAGTTCACAGTTCTTCTATGCCTCTAGTATTCTTATCTGTAAAATAGGGATAATAATAAATCTATCTCCTAGTACTGTTGGGAAGATTAAATCAGCTGATATAGCAAAACCCTTAGAGAACAGCCCATGGAACGTGTTTGCTGTCAATAGTTATCAGCTATTCTTGACCTTCACTCACTGAACTACATATGCCAGACTCCACAACAGGCACTCTAGGTACATCACCAGACAAAATAAATGCAGACATTTACCTTCATGAAGTTTACTATATAGTGAAAGAATGCAGACAATAAAACAAATAAGAAAATGATGCAATATATTGGCCAGTAATAAGTTCCATGAAGGTAAATAAAGCCAGAAATGAAAAAAGGAAGGGCTGAGGCTGGGAATGGCAATTCTTGGTAGCTGGTCTAGAATGGCATCCATGGGTAAGGTATGGGAGTGAGCCATGTGCATACCTGAAAAAGAGCCATCCAGGCAGAGAGAACAGCAAGTGCCGGCGCCCTGAAGCAGGAGCCTGCCTACAGTGCTCAATGAGCAAGAAGACCAGTGTGGCTGAGCAGAGTGAGGCAGAGGGCAGGAGATGAGTCAGAGACCTAAGAGAGGACCAGGTTGTGCAGATCCTTTATATATATTATTGATTTTTTACAGAGGGGAAGAGAGAGGGATACAGTTAGAAACATCGATCAGCTGCCTATTGCACACCCCCTACTGGGGATGTGTCCACAACCAAGGTACATGCCCTTGACCTGAATCAAACCTGGGACCTTTCAGTCCATAGGCCGACTCTCTATCCACTGAGCCAAACTGGTTTCAGCATGTGCAGATCCTTGAAGGGCTTTGGCTGTCACCCTGAGTGACATAGCGGGTCACTGGAGACATGGAGCACAGGAATGACATGACCCATGCATTTTTATAGGCTCTCCCTGGCCAGTGTGTAACAGGAGATATGATCCTGGTAGGGACAGGGAGAGGGAAGGACAGAAACAAGGAGACCAGTTAGGAGGCTATTTCTGAAGTTCATTCTGGAGATTATTTAACCAAGCTCTAACAGGGTTGTTCTATGGAGCAGGTAAAACATAGACTCCACATATTTTGGCAGGAGAGATAATAGATTTTCCTGTTGGAGTAAATGTGAATTCTGAAAGGAAGGAGTTAAGAACGAACATTTGGAAGCTGAGATTTGGAAAATGAACAACTGGAAGTATGGAAGTACGTGTCCATTATTTACCTAAATTGGAGAAGACTTTGGGAGAAATGGGTTAGGAAAAGAAAGAACAAAGTATTGTTATGGCTGTTCCACTTCTTTGCCTACTTATCTTGCCATTATGATTGTTTTAATGAGAGGTAGCTTCATCAGTCCTTTCCTCTTTCTTCTTAGTTCTATCTCCTCTTAGCTTTCTTTCTTTTTTTCCTAGCAGGTAATAAATCAATGCACAGCACACCCCCCTATTCAGTCAGCTCATTACATCGAACTGTCCTTTTCTACTGCAGTGAGTATTTAGCACAACCTTCTGTTCTGGGAACGTAACCTTGACTCTCTCTCGCCCTCTGTGTCTACAGTCACACCTTCCTTCTTACAGTATCTTTATAAAAGAAAATGCCTGTTTCTTCTTCTTTTGAAAATTTCATTTTCTTTGCTTTTTTTCCATTTTAGCCATTTTTCTTCTGCTTGCTCTGATTTCATTAATCCTCCCACCAATTCTTTCCACTAACTACACTGCCTTCTCTTATACCCAAGAATTCTCCAATGACTCCTCAACACCAAAATAAATCTCCTGACTGAGCTTCCCAGCTTATCCCTTTCCTCTGACCCTTAATTGAAACTCCTTGCTGTACAAGAGTCATGTGATGTCTCAGGATCTTAGTTTGTTCCCTTGAAAAATAAAGGAATAAACCAGATTACAAATAAGAAAACATAGTTTGTTCTTCGGAATTGCAGACAAAATTAATAACATTTTTACCAAAAAAAAATCCCGCACACAGAGGTCATTTTTAATGCTTTTATTTAGCAAAATTTCCAGGTGATTTTGAAATACATTACACATCTATTCATTGGAAACAAGAGAGAGGTTATTCCAAAATATTATTTAATAGCCCTAAAATAATTTTGCCTATCAGAGCAAAAGAATCCACCCAAAAAGGTTTTTCTGTAGTGGAAATTACAACACTTGACTTCACACACACACACACACACACACACACACACACACACACACAATTAGTTAGAAATATTTCATTTCTAGAGTTAAATTTCATACAACACATTAATAATATAAAGGGGTTACTTTAATACAATAGCTATCTCTAGTTCCTTTTAACAAGGGAGCTGGACTTCAGATTATTCAATTTTGGTTTATAAATCTAACTATAAAATTGAGGGAGAAATGTGTCTTGTCTAGCCTTCTCTGCCCAAATCAAATGCCATCTCCCCTGAGTTTAATAGTCATAAGACATTTTTCTCTCCTCTGAACTCCACTGGGGCTCACCTTATATCCTTCTTAACCCCATACTTCCTAAATCAGACTCTCTCATGTCTGTCAATAAATATTTATGAAAGGAAAGAGAAGCAGAAAAGTAAATAAGCATCATAGTTTAATAAGAGAAGTATAGGCTTTGAGTCAGACAAACCTAGTTTTGCATCTTATTTCTTCTATTTAATCACCATGTATGCTACACAGTTGATTTAGCCTCTCAGGGCCTTAGCCTCCTGGTCTCCATAATGGAGATAACAAAGCCTCTCTCATAGGGTACTCGGAAGATGAAGAGTGATAAGATGGTTAAACAGCTAGCACTTGAGGCACCCAATAAAAGTTACGTCCCCTCTCCCTGTTCTAGCATGGCACTCACAGTTCAATCCTGCATCATAGCTGACTGCACACAGGGCTGCTCCCAGGCTGTGAGCTTTGGAAGGCAAAGAGTTGTCCATCTTTTTGTTTCCTATAGAATGTAGGGTAAGGTAGTGATTGGCAAATTCTGGAGGTGCAGTAACTGCATACTGTATTCAACTGAGTGTGGACCAGGATCGTTCCCAACCTGGGGCATAATGACCCTGTGGATTTGGGTTCTTTGGGCTTTTCTAGTAATACAGGGTGAGGCAAAAGTAGGCTTACAATGGTTCCTATGGAAAATAATACAACAATTAATTAATAATAATATAAGAATAAACTATTTCATGCACTACGTTTGCCCCACCCTTTATAGCTCCTCTTCTGCAGTTCAGGCTGCTTTGAGACAGTCCACCATGCTTTAAAATAGGTTGTTCAAAATATAAGTACTCTCCTAAATTCTTTGGCAACTAATCAGAATGCTGTTTCACACCAATCAGAAAGGATATATGCACCCCATATGTTCATAGCAGCACAATCTACAATAGCTAGAATCCAGAAACAGCCTAGGTGCCCATCAGCAGATGATTGGATCCAAAAACTGTGGTACATCTACACAATGGAATACTATGCTGCCATAAAAAAGAAGGAATTCTCATCATTTGCAGCAACCTGGATGGAATTGGAGAACATCATGCTGAGTGAAATAAGCCAGTCAATGAAAGAAAAACACCACATGACCTCACTCATTTGTGGATAATAAAGAACATTATAAACTGATGAACCAAAAGATAGATATAGAGACAGTATATCAACAAGCAGACTGTCAAATTACAGCGGGGAGGGGAGGAAGATCTGGGGGAGATAATAGATCAACCGAAGGACTTTTATACATGCATATAAGTACAACCAATGGACATAAAACTCTGGGGAGGGAGGGGATGTATGAGAGGGAGGAAGGGGGGCAAAAAAATCAATAAAATATATTAAAAAACAAAAAACAAAAAACAGGATGCTGTTTCATTTCTCACGGTAGAAACTGCTGCAGAAAATCAACCTTATTTTGAGATAAAGAAGCTGAATTCACTACAGTTTGCTGGTAAAAACAAGTTGTGTTAAAAAAGCACTGGGTCAAATAAACTCAAGCTCATCTGTGAATAGCCAGGAAACCCTGGGCAAACTATCTATGTTCATTGAGTCTCGATCAAGTGGAGAAAATATAACTTTACTTTGAGTATTACCCAGGGTTGTGGGTAGATAAGGAAGGTGATGTCCTGGAACAGAACCGACTTTGAAGCAGGATGCAAAATAAGATCTAGAAAGCCATCAGTTTTTGTCATATTGAGCTCTTACTTTGTCACAGTCCAGGCTTCTAGCCTCATGTCCTTCTTTGGCAATTCGCCAGCTCTTGTTTTATAATCCCAGGATGAAAGTGATGAAATCTACATGACATCCTAGCTTTCTTCTGAATTCCACATTACAAGGCAGCAAGTGTTGTCATGACTTCATAATACAACAGATGCAGTGTCCATCACGCAAAGGGCTGGTCTGGTTGCCAGCAGCAGGAACTGCACGCATTCTCTTTCTATCTGACGCTAGAACAACACTGCACAGCCCAGCTGCTTGTAGCTTTTCTTGTGTGTCAGTCACAGCTTCCTTTGTAAAATATTTCAAAGCGATACAGCTCAACCAAAGCGTAACAGAAAGTCAGCCCCAGACTAAAGCAGGCGGGTTGGGGGAGAAGCCAGCGACCTGTCTCTTCCGGCGGAATCTTTGTTCCTAGGTCATCGTACCCCTGCCGCTGCAGCTTCCAAAGGAAATCGGGAGAGAGGGGAGGTGGATGGGCCACCTACTCACTGCCTATGGAAGAACGCATCTTCCCAAATTTCTGAAAAAAATCGTCTTGTGCCCGGGCCAACGCGTCTTCATCGATGTAGACCGCTGGCCTTTTGGCCACGAGGAAGTACTGCACCTTCCTCAGCTTCCAGCCCATCACGTAGTGGAGCCAGCCGCACACGGCCGCCGTGGACCGGCCGACCCCCGCGTTGCAGTGAACGTACACCGTGTGTCCATTCTCCAGCAGCGCGTGCAGGAGACAGACCGCCTGGGGCAGCATCTGTACCCGGCCTGGGGTGGAGAAAGCACAGCACAGACATGTGAATTAATGAAACCCCAACAGCGCCACCAGTAACTCCTCCAGCACCCCGTGATGTCACAGGGCACTGCCCAGTGAGGCAGGGATAGCACAGCCTGCTGCATTCCTTTGCTTTGGAGGAAAAAGTGAGGCACTATCACATCCTGCTAATGATGGAGTGGAGGAGCCCTGCGGGGGCAATGGGCAGCTCTGTCACTTGATTCGGCTGCTCCTTTGAGAGATTTCTGCACTCGCACCCATTTCCCCTAAAGAGAGGTTTTTACATTACAAGGGCGGTTTTTACATCTTCCGTGAGCATAGATCCAGCAGAGGACTTTAGAGGATTTCAAAGAGGGCCTGACAGTCCTGTCACCTCAATTTCCTTTCATCCAAAAGGATCCTCCAAGTAAATGTAAAACAGAATTGGTCCATCCAGATTAAAGAATTCACCCTTACTCATTCAACATGTGCTAGTTTCCATTTGTCCAATGAGATGACTAACTTATTAATTGATACACCTGGGATATTGGATAAATTGTCAATTTATTCCCTGATGGTGCAGTGTGCGTTAAAACTAATTCCATTTTTCCTTTCGTGGGCAATTATGATTATAGTTATTGCAGCTTCATGACTACTTTTTTTTATTACAAGATGATTTAGATGACTTCTTTGCCCAGAGAGAGGATATGTATGCTCTGCCGAGGCCAGTTTTAAGAGATTCCCCTAAAATCATCACACTTCTGGATGCTGCAGTTTCTTCTGCTTACAGATTCTCAAAGATATTTCATGGATTTGGGGGACAGGTGGAAGAAGATCAGTGGAAATTACTTCAAAAATGGATGAAAGTAGGAAATACAGAGACCATAGAAATACAACTTCATGCCTATGGTTTGATCTCTCCCGTTACTCTCTGTCCTCAACCACAGAGACACAACGTGTGGTGTCCTCTGAGAGCCACAGTCTCACACTGCCAGCCCACTGGAGGACCGCAGAGGTGGGAAAGCCCCTCCCTCAAATGATTTTCCTGCAGATTTCACCGGGCCCAGAATTCTCACAGAAGAGCCACTCAGACTTCCCTCCTTAGCTATACCCTTATAGTGCAAGGCCTGAAAGTCCAACACAACACACTATGATCAGGCATCAGCACCTGAGAAGAGCAGACATTTCCAAAGACCTGGTCATGGCCCGAAGGCCCTGTCAGATACCACTCTATCCAGCGGGCCTACCTTAGCTTCCAGCTCGGAGACAGGAACAAAAACTCTACATGAAACCAGGACAATATTCTAATTTTGCTGCTGATGCTCTGCTAATCCCTCTTACTCTGGGGATCTAAAGAGCAGTTTGGAGATGTTTTAACTGGAATTCCCTTAGGCAGGGTATACTCTGCAGTTCTGGGGTGGAGGGTGGGCAAGGGGGAGTGTGTTGCTCTTTGTGCTGCCTACCTGGTCCCTGAGGGCATCTAAATTGGAGGCACGTCAGCTCCTACATGTCTCAAGATTTCTCAGAGTCCAAACTGAGCCATAGCTTTGATTGATGTACTGCTCTCTGCTCTGCTCTGCTCTGAGGTTAGACTTGGGTGGGCCTGCCATGCAGGCAGTTGTTTATGGCACTCTCCCAGAGGCAGATGAGGGAAGGACAGTGGCTTAAGAACAGAGGCTCTGGCAACTGGCTGGCTGGGTTTGAGTGACCATGACGAAATAATCTTTTGAAACACCTGAGTGCCTCAGTTTTTTCAGATATAACAGGATAATAATAGTCCCAAGCTCATTGTTGCTAAGAGGTGGTTGTAAAGGAGCTACTGCCTCCTCAGTGCTTAGAACAGCACATAGCAGGAGAAAGGTAGAAAGAACTGCCATCTAAGCAGCTCCTGCTGACCCCCATGTTGTCAATCTATCAAACTCCCAGTCATTCCCTGCACCCCACCCGCCTGGCCATGCTCTGCCTACACCCCTGTGTGAGAGTCACATCTGGCCTGAGGTTGATTGAGTACCTCTGCCACCACCTCTAGAGGGGCCAGCTGTGCCCAATGCACCCACATTGCCCTTCTTGAATACCATTCTAGGGAGCCTTAGCTAATACATAACCCACCAAGGAAAAAAAGCTCACATAACAAACCCAATGTCAACCAGAACCCTGATTTTTATGTTTCATGTATTTTGGCTCCACGTAGAATTTAATTGAGTAAAAAAAAAAAAAAAAAAAAAAAAAAAAAAAAAAAAAAAAAAAAGTTCTTATTCCCCAAAATAATTATATCTAAAGGCAAGACAGAAATGCAGATTTTTAAAATGTAAAATAGTCAAAATTTTAAATGTTGGCACCTAAGTTGAAATATTCTTATTGAACTCACAGTAGGCCTTAGCTCTCAGTGGATGCTCAAAAGGCCTTAGGTAAGTACATGAATTAAAGCAAAATAAAACAAAACCCAATAACACCAACTTGATCTGACACGCTAATCTAACTTCAAGCCCCACCTCTTCCAGGCTATCTAACTCTGAAATGACCAAATGCTTCCTGAAATCAGTAATGACAAGCAAAGGTGGTGAGAAGGGGGACAGGTAATGTTGGGGAAGCCTGAGGCATTAGGGCCTAATGATATGCAAGGTTTACCTAAACTGGCCCTGAAATAATCATTCCTGGCACAAACTTTCAGCCTTTCCAACACATGCATCTTTCCTTTCTCAATACAGGGGCAGACTGATGGCTGAACATATTATTATTGTTGTTGTTATTATTATTATTATTATTATTTTATTGATTTTGTTTTTTACAGAGAGAGGAAGGGGGAGGGATAGAGAGCCAGAAACATCAATGAGAGAGAAACATTGACCAACTGCCTCCTGCACACCCCCCACTGGGGATGTGCCCGCAACCAAGCTACATGTCCCCAACTGGAATCAGACCCACGACTCCTTAGTCTGCAAGCTGACACTCTATCCACTGAGCCAAATAGGTTTCGGCATATTATTACCTTATTATATCTTCTTTTCCACCTTAGCAATGCAATATAGATAAGAATCATATTGTCTATAACATCCTTTGGTACAAATTTAAATACTTGGGACAAATACACCGCAACTTAGTGATTTTTCATAGCACGTTGATATCCATCATCTTATTCTACGGTTATAATCCTGTAAAGTAGAAATTATCATCCCTATTTTCCAAATGCAGGAACTAGTCAGCCCCATATCACACAGCCATGCAGGGTGATGAGGCTTGAGCCAGGGCCTGTGGCTCCAAGGTCAGGGTCATTGCCTCATGGCAGAGCTGAATTCAGTGAGTTGAGTCAGAGGCCAGAACTCAGACTGTGACAACTTATCCAAGCACTGCCCTGACAGAAGGCAGAACACAAGCAGAGCACTTCCTCTGTGAAGGAAAACTGAATCTTAAGAGCACACTTGTTTTTTTCTGGGTGGACACTAGGTTTGGGAGCTTTCTGTTTCTTAGGTGAAAAACACAAATCAAATTATTTTTTTCAAAAAAATAAAAGAGAAAACCTAACCAATCCATTTGTATATGACAAAATGTACAAGATATGGATCGATGGCACAATTAATTGGAACAGGTCAGTCCTAACAAACTGTCTTCTTTCTCAGGCATTCGCTGACAGCATTATGTGGCTCAAACGTTTTCAGATGAATTTTTCTCTAAATATATATATATATATATATATATATATATATATATATATATATAGTGCTAATACTTTGAGCCACATACCTGGAACTTTTGGTCAAAAATTCCTCGGGGACTCCAAAATGGTCATTAAACTTTGGTGACTCCCTGGGTTATGCTGAACCAAAAATAAAACAAAACAAACAAACAAACAAACAAACAAACTCTACGTAGTTTGGGGTTTAGCCTTTTTCAAGGGGGAGCTTTCATTTGCTGTCATTTTGTGTGTAGTCAGTGTGGAAGGGGGACCCCCAGACACAGGGGAATGATCTTATCTATCTCTGTTTCCCACCATCACCTGTGTCACATCACAATTCTCTCTTCACAAAGGCAGACCCCCAAAAGGTTTAAATACAACTACAGTGGATCTTCGGGAAGAGCATGCAAATCCCCGATCTGTCAGCAGGGACTTCAGGTAATCAGAACATGGGTTGGATTCATAAAGAGCCAATGGGATGCATGTAAAGCTTTTAGTATACCTTATTTTTCACCTTTGCGACGTAATATAGATAAGGTTCTTATTATCTATACCATCCATTGTACAAACTCAAGGATTTGGGACTTAAGTTGAAACTTATTTCAACTTCTCTGAGCCTCATCACACATAATATCCCAATGGGATAAAAATGCTATAAAACCAGAATTAAAGAAGTGAAAATCCAAATGCTCTCTGGAAGCTATTGGCACTCTAATAATTTCTTCTGTTTTGAAACTAGAGAAAAAATCTGGACAGGACAAATATGATCTAGATTCAACCAGCGCTCTTCTTTACAAATTAGAATGGTTGTTTGTTTGTTTGTTTGTTTGTTTTTTAAAAAGACAAAGCTTGTGTGGCTAACTTAAGCATCTTTGGATCAGCGTTACCAAGAGCAGTAACCAAAGAATCCCCTCCTTAAGGAACAAAACTATACCTCATTTCCAGAGATAGCTCAGTTCACACACAGACCCACAAAGGGATCCAGCTCAGCCAGCAGGACCACCTGAGATTCATAAAGAGCCAATGTGGCCCCGTGCCAGGAAACCTGATTCTCGAGGTCTTCTGTCCCAACCCACATCTTGATGATTGACTCTGGGGATATTTAGCTGCTTCCCTGGCAACCCATGACTCTCCCTAATTCCACCTAAAGATGCAAATGACAGATTGAAAGTGTGGCGGTCTGCAGAATGTGTGTGAAGAGTTTACGTGGGCATGTATGGTGTCTGGAGCAATGTTCTGGGTCAGACAGTTCTGAAATCCAGGCTGTGTCTCTGTTCTTTACCTTGGCCAGGTTACTTTAGTTTTTTGTACCTCAGTCTCCTCTTCTGCAAAATAGAGATGACTAATTGTCTTGATTCTGGTATGAGAATTAAATGAATTCATGCATTCAATTGCTTAGAAGAGTGTTTGATACATTTGGACTTTGGGGGGAAGAGGACTGATAATAGAAACGTTTCCTCCCTGGGCATCAGGATCTTCTTTCCCCAGACTCCCTTAGCCTGTCCATTTTCACAGCCCTCTGCTGCCCCCTGCTGACGTCTAGTTCATGTTACTAGTGCAACTCGGTTCTTGTGGCTTCAAATAGCTCCGTTCCTTTTCTACAAGAACCCTCTTCTCCCACCAGGCTGAAACATAAACCATTCCTCTAAAACCCCATACCTTGGCCTATGCTTTCTTCCATCTGAAATGACAAGACACTCATGTCACCTGCCTGCCTGTTCTTCACACTATAACTCTCCTAGAGCAAATCATTCATACCTCTCATCACATTCCTTCTGTACTGTAGTTAGTCTTGAACATGTCTTATTGTTCCTTACCATTACAACAAAACTATGTCTGTTTCCCAAGCAGCACCCATGTCACATCATAATTGTCTCTTCACAAAGACAGGCTCAGCCAGTACTTGCGCAATAAATGCAGCCTCGTGATCACAACCCTTCCCTGAACTTCATTATCTTTCTCATTCTCTCTCACTTTAATGTTGCAGTTACCGCCTAACTGGTGTCCTGGATTCACTCTGGGCCCACCCAATCCATTCTCTACTTTGCAATCAAAGTGTACTTCTAAAGGAAAAGAAAATGATTACTTGGGCAACTCCCAGCCAGTTCTTTCACTGCTTCTCACCACTTTAGGGTAAAGTCTGAAGTCCTTATTATGCCCAAATCCCGCAAGACTCACTTCCCTCACCCTCTGATCTGCAGTCCACGAGCCTATTTTCAGTTCCTACAACCTTCCATGCTCTTTTGCAACAGGGATTCTTGGACAGCTGCTCTCCCTGCCTGGGAGCCTCACCGCTGACCCCAGCCCTCTCTTCAGACCTTAGTTCAAACACTGCTTCCCCAGATCACTTTCCTGACTCCCCTTCCTGAGTCTGACTGTCTGTGCATACTCTCATAGCTATATCCATGTATCTTCCTAACAACAACAACAACAACAAAAATATCAGTTTTAATTTCTATTTGTGGTCATATTATAGGATTATAAGCCCTATGAGGGCAGGAGTTGTCCCGCCTCTTTTTGTTGCTGTATTATCGGTCACCAGTGCCACACACACAGTAGATATGCAATAAATACATGTTTAATGAATAAACAAATCAAAGACCCATGCAAAACAGAGTACCAACCAAGTTATCAAAATATACATATTAAATGTTAAACCTAGACCCTTTTCTTTACTCCATTTCTATTATTCATATTTAGATATATCTATTATAGACAGAAAAGTAGGCTGGCAGATAGATGATAGATAGATAGATAGATAGATAGATAGATAGATAGATAGATAGATAGACAGACAGGCAAGGGCTTCTCTGAAACACATTTCACAAGGAGCCAACATGATTCCGCTGCTTACCTTCAGTGCTCATATCTGGAGTCGGCATCCAGATGTAGACCAAGCCTTCTTCCTTGTATAGCTTAATCATAGTGTCTGGAGTCATGGGTTCTGGGTAGCGATTACAGCCTGAGGAGTTCTGTACAATATCCCATTCAGTCTGGAAATTCATTACTGCTGTAATCCCCAATTCATGCTTCAGTTTGATGGTTACGTGTTCCACTTGGCGAGGGCAGCTACCCAGCCAGATATTTGGTAGAATTCTAATGAAAACATACAGAGTCAACTATTACTATTATGGTTTGAGATTTGAAAAGCTGCATAAAACATGTAGTATTAAAGTGCAATTTTATTCACCTCAGTATACAAGTAAAGAATATATCTCATTCCCTCTTCTTATTTTTACTTTTTCTATGTATTCCAATCATGTAGATAGAATAAGACTATATAACCCATTAGTATCTTAAATAACATTCAAGAGACAGATAAAAATGTGTTTTTAAAGGGAGTCATGATTAACCATTTATACTCCACCCAGACTGTGTTGTGGGTGTTTAGAGCTAATTTGTCACTCTTCCAGTTTTATTGTTGGTGGCTTTTTGAGGACAAATAAAAAAAAATCTTCACTCTATTTTCTGAGAAAAAAAAGACGGAATCTTCTAGATGTACCATTGGGTAGAAATAATTATCTCTTTTCCTCTTTTTTTACTTGTTTTTTTTTTTAAGTATACTACGTAATGATAATAATAAAGCCAGATGTTAACATTAGTGAATGCACAATAAATTTAAGTGGACTTTATCTAGCTATTATAATTTACTTGTTTTGGAAATTTCTTTTGCATTTCAATGGCTATTTGAATATAATTTTTCACTGCTCTGTGTATCCCTCATTTAAATGCTGCAGAGAATAGAATATTCATCCTGTTTTGTTTTTTTTTTTAATGAAATTCAGCTTGTTTTTTGCCTTTTGGCTGTTGTTGTTATTGTAGATGTTAAGGTAATAAAACAATGACTAATCTCAAATTGTGGATATTTTCATTCCATCCTCAATGAAATATCATATAAGATCCAGCATTGTATTTTTAAAGCTTGCATCCTACTTAAACTCCAGGAAAAAATAAGCCAATTTTTTTTTTATTGTTGCTTAGGTTCTAAGTCTAACGGGTTATTAGGAATTTCCTTATTGTTGTGGGAAAATAAAGGGAATACAATTTTAAAAAGAGAAAAAGTGAAAAACCCAGGAAAGACTTAATGGTACTATGAAGTGTGGAATAGGACCCAAAGGCTTTTCCACTTTAAATTCTCACTGTGCAGGATTCTCAGATATCCCATTGGACCCAGTAGGCTGAGAAAAAGTGCATCAACAGGTGCCCTTTTAGCATGCCCCAGAGCTGTGCTTGACCAGGACATTGTTCTCTCAATAATTAGCCTTTGCAGGAATGGAAACTTCATAACCCCTGGGTCACTGCCCCTTCCCTCTGGCTGATGAGTGAGAATAGAAACCTACCTCTATCTATATATTCCATACTCCCTTCCATTATCCTTTAAAAATTCCTCCTCCAATAACCTGCTGGATGCCTAGTAGCTAGTAGTGCTAGGCTGCCATACTTATTCTTTTGGGTTTAACTGAGAATACTGAAGTACCCTAAGCTGAAAAAGAGGGAAGTGGACATTTCAGTTATAAAACCAAGAATTATAGCCTTTTGAACACAATGGATTTTTGTTGGGAAAATCTTGAAGTGCACTGGTAAAATATTAAAACATAGATTCATGATAGGCAAGCTGAATTCCAAACATTACCCGAAGTTCACTTGAATATTTTGTCATTAGAGTGGATAGTACTTAGTATTTAGCTAATAAATAAATGCCAGAATAAAATGGCTAGCATGCAAGATTTGCATAAAGACCAAAAAATAATTCATAGAGATATATAATGGGTAAATCGGGATATTTGAGCCTATAAAAATAAGAAATCAGAATCCCAAACCAGAGTCAGTGCATAGAATCATGTGTGTTGCTTAGAAAGGTATTATTCTATCATTTCATTCAGCCATGCTCTGCAAGTATGTTTAAACTAACTGGGAACCTTGGGAAATTCAGAATAAGTCAAAGGTAAATAGACCTAAACTTATTACCTTAATATATATATTTCCCACATCCATTTTATAATGAAAATAAGCCCTTGAAATACACACACACACATTCTCACACACATATAAACACCAGTTTCTATATCAAGTTATTTCCAACTTTTTTATAACATAATTAATTCTTTCCCTAGAAATGCCAGAAGTCAGTCTTATTTAAAAAATGAATATAAAACAATTCCTGATGTTTTAAGCAAGATGTTCTGGACTTAGGAGATAGATAACTAAAGATAAATTCTAAAAACAAGCACTGTATTGAAGGATAGAGAAAGATATATAAAGTAAATTTACTAAACCATTATATGAGACATTTAGACAAAATACCGGGCTTGTTAAAAACACACAAATCAATGGATGCTACTTAATCAGACAGCTAAAGTGCAGTTTGTCAGCTCTAACAGTAGGTGATATATTTCTAGTATATGAAAAACTGAAAGTAATAAGATGCATGATTTGCTTTCCATATAGTAATTAAACTCTTACTTATCTACTCAAAAGAGAATAATTTGATGCCATCAAAAGTCAAGTTTTAGGCATTCCATCTTAGTTTTCATTTTCTTTTGGAGTCCATGATACTTTAAACAATTTTAAAAATCGGAAATTTTTTAAAAGGTGAAAAGAAACTTGTTGCAGTATGGAATTTAGGGAATAAAATTTTTCTGTAAAGGTAGTTTTAATGCAAGGCATACCAAACTTCAAAGATATAAAAAATGGAACAAAATATATAGCTTAAATTGTCAATTACCATGTAAAACTTCCAGAGGATTAGTTTATGAGTAACTTACTATTAATATTGAGTTTTTATCAGAGCTTTCTGGCAACTTCACTATAGATTATTTGGAAAAGTCAAAGTTCATGGTACCAAATGGGTACTGACACTCAGCCAGCCCAGGTCAGAGGCTCCCAAACCTGGTGCTTTTATAAAAACTGCTATTACGAGGCTCTACCCCAAAAGTACTCATAAAATGGCTCTGGAGTGAGGTCTAAAACTGTGGATTATTTTCCCTTAGAAATTAGCCAGAGGTTGTACATTATCAGCTCAGCAGATCAAAAAAAATATGTAAGAGAAGCTTACATTCAGTTCTCAATACCTTTTTTGTAGAAGTACAAAATATGGAAATGAGAGGATGTGGACTTGCTCAATTCTAGCACATGTATATCTAAATTTAAGTCCTTACCTTTCTGCCAAAAGTTTCAAGGCTGCAACTGATTCTTAGACAGAGAGTGAGGAAAGGGAACTGTTAGGAAAGAACAGTTTTGAGAAAGTATGCCCATGTGTTTAATGCGTCATTTCTTCTAAAAAAGTCAAATCAACTGCTGAGCCATGACAAATATTTAATATAGTTATATCCGTTAAGAATGTATTTTTGAAGGAAAAAAAATATTTAACCTAGGCTTTGACTAATGCCGCTCTGATCCAACAAGATTGGACTTAAATAAAATTCGTTCTAGAAATATTACAATGTGGCTAAAGACCAGAGGAAAGAAATGCATGGCTGACATTTCTGGAACCTTCTTTAATTGCAAATCAAAACCACTTTCATTCATTTGAGTAAACCTGGATTTGTGGTTTTCAGGTAGTCAGATCACAGTACTACACCATTTGCTCCACCTGTCAGGCTAGGGCTAGTGCTACGATGGCTACTGAAGCATATGAATCCAAGCCAGCTTGTTACATCTCAGCTGTCAGTCAAAGGAGGCCTCGCTGGCAATAATGAGCACATCAGGCAGAATGTGCATCCATGCACTTTGGGGAAAACAAACAAAATACGATGTATTGGCAGGAGGGGCATGAAAAAACAAGAGATATCAGAAAATGAGACCATTATATGGACTCCACATCACAGGCTTCATCACTAAAGGCCAGAGAAGTGACAGAATAACCTTTTCCTAAAGGTGAACATTAGCATTATTTTTGTCTATAGGGGGAAAAATTAGGAAAACCACAAGAATGATGAGATCGATATATGAACATCGGTTTTTGTTAATTTCTTATCATGCCCTCTTCTTAGCCATACAAATGCAGCATCATTTCAGAGATAGAAAAAATGGACTTTGCAGAGGTTCTTCACAAAACCTGGTTAAGAGTATATAAATATATAATTAGCACATATCCTAAGTTGGATAATTGTGTTACATTTACCTTATTTAATATTTTATGGCAATTTGATGTGAAATTAAAATGTGATTAGCTTTTAAATAATGGGTCAGGGAAAAAACATCTATCATTCCTACAATTTAGATCTCATTAGTGAGAAAGCAAGAGAAACATTAAAAGCAATTCCCAGTGAACTCCAAGCTTCATTAGCACATAGAGCTCCTTCTGCAGAAAATGTGTACTCTGGTGTTGTTCTAGGTAATTAATGCCAAACTTCTAACCCAAAAGGGTGCTTGTCCACAGACTCCAGGGAAGGCTGGACAACTGCTCAAAGACAAATTCCAATTTAGAGAGTGATATTAATTAACTTCTTTATTTTAAAGAAAGAGTTTTATTGTGGTTTTCTTAAGAATCATAGACTATTATATATAGAGAGCACGTGCTCTATAATTCTACAAATATGACTAATGTTGGATTGTGCTGACCAAATTGTTCTCTTAAAAATGCAGTCACTTTCTTCAATTTTTTTAGACATACTATGTAGTTTATAGCCACATGAAGCAAATATTTTTGACATATGTTCTTTTATTTTCTACATTATAAAATACCATATAATTAAATTATTTATAAAGGTCTTCACTGGGTTGAATTGTGTTTTCCCAAATTTCTGTGTAGCAGTTCTAACCCTGACACCTCAGAACGTGATCTTATCGAGAGACCTGTCTCTACAGAAGTAATCAGATTAATATGAGGTCTTCAGGGTAGACTCTGATTGAATATGACTGCTGCCTTTATCAGAAGGGAAAGTTGGACACAGATGTGTAAAGAGACAATGAGAAGATAAAGGAAGACAAAGCAAGAGGCCTGGAACAGTCCTTCCCTTACAGCCCTCAGGACAAATCAACCCTACAGATACATGATCATAGACTTTTATCCTCCAGACTTTGAGACAATAAATTTCTGTCATTTAGGCAACCTAGCTGTGGCACTTTGTTATGGCAGCCCCCAGGAGATGAAT